ATCCAGTTTTTCTCAGTCTTACCCTCACCCTGATGTCAGCCTCATTCTACAACAGTGGCACCATATAATATTTGTCCCTTTGTGACTGAGATACCTCACTCAGCATAATGCCTCCAGGGTCACCCATTTTGAATAATATTGCATGAGTTCCTTATTTTTCAATGTAAATTAAAACCAACTTGCTGGCATTGAGTCAGTTCTGTCTAGGAGCTTATCAACCAGAATAGAACTGCCCTCCAGAATTTCCAAGGTTGTAAGTAATCATTGGAGCGAACTACTACATCTTCCTTCCAGAGTGGCTAGTAGATTTAAACTGACCACCGTCATTTCACAATTGCACGTCTAACCACTTACGCCATCAGAGCTATTTACATTCACTTAGAAATAGTATCCCTTGGACTTGTGCTGTGTACAACCGATGCTTCTGTACATTATAGCACTAAAACAAATGTAACATAAATGAAGACTTAATAAATGGTTCTTACAATGTTTGAGGACGTCAGAAGAATAATTTATGTCTTTGAGTTGTGGTGTTGAAGAAGAATACTGTATATCCCATGGTCTTCCAAAACCACTAACAGGTATGGCTTGGAAAAAGGGCCACCAGAGTGACCCTTAGAGGCAAAGATGTCAAAGATATTACTCATAGATGAGGCATGCTATTAGGAGAGAGTATTCCTTGTAAAGGTATACCATGTTTGGAAAGGTGGAGGGTCAGCGAAAGAGAAAAAGACCCCCAATGAGCTATCTCTATACAGTGGCACAGCAGTGGGCTCAAGTGCGTCAGATATGATGAGGATGTCGAAGGTAGGACAGGGTTCAAGGTCTGTATTCACAAGGTCACTATGAATTGTACTTGATTTGATGGCATCTAACAAAAACTAGCCTTGCTATTCTCGTTCTTATTTTTCTTATATAATTATTATAATCAATTCTGCAAAAGGGTCTTTAAGGAAACGGACACCACTCACCGATTATGCATCCCATAGCCCTGTGGGTGTACACTGGCAGAAACAACCACCACCAGGGCTGGAAGCCCATAGCCAAAGGCACAGAGGTTCCGCATTCTGATGTTGCGGGAGCTGAAGTAATTCACCACCTTCAGGTTCCTGACCATGAGGAAGATCATCACCGCTTCTACCAGCATCCAGAAGAAGCAGGCGAGGAAAAGGTAGTGCAGGACGCCAGCGATGGTGGCGCAGATTATCTGGAGAAGAGAAGAATGAACATCTATGACCTCCACCCCTGCGAGAAGGTTCAGAAATGTGAAGAAAACAGGCGGACTACCTTGACTACACTTCCTCAAACATGGCCACTCGTTGACTCCACAAATATTTGTAACGTTCTTTAAACACGGGTGGTCCACATTTTGGAAGGATGGAAAACCATATTCATTTGCCTACGACTGAGACTAGAATCAGGGGAGTTTGGGACAAGCTGTAAATTTACGGTATGTTCAGAGATCAGTGGTCGTGGTTGTTATTTTTGTTGTGTGCCATTAAATCCAATTTACAGTAATACCAGGTGATGCGATTTCCTCTGAAGGATTTCCTCGTTGTTATCTGTTTCTATGAGAGCAGGTGGCCCCAATTTTTCTTCACATCAGTGGATTTCAAATGCCAGCATTGGCTTTCGGGGTCAGCAGACTTTCATGCCATCTCTGTGAATAGAGTCATTTACGTCTTCTCTGTGGCGCTTTCTCTGTACCACAGCACAGTGGAGTACTTGAGGCAGAGATAGCATGGTTGCCAAACCTGAGAATATTTACTATGTAGACCTTCAGTAAAAAAAAACAACTTATTGATTCTGATCCAAATGGTGAACAGAAGCTATGAGAATTGTGGCATCAGGATTGGTGGAAGATCTGCGTTATGCAGATGACACAACCCTTCTTGCTGAAACCGAGAAGGACCTCATGCACTTGCTGCGAAGGGTCAAGAACTGCAGCCTTCGGTATGGACTGAGGCTCAATGTCAAGAAGACAAAGATTCTCACGACTGGACCAATTGATAGCATCAGGATGGATAGCGAAGAGATTGAGATTGTTCATAGCTTCAGTTTGCTCGGCTCCACGGTCAACAGTCTTGGCACCAGCAGTCAGGAAATAAAAAAAACTTATTGTGATAGGAAAGTCTGCTGTTAGTGGCCTCTCTAAAGTACTCAAGAGCAATGGTGTCTCTCTGGAGACTAAGGTGTGCCTGATACAGGCCATGGTCTTTGCAATCACTTGTTATGCATCAGAGAGTTGGACAATGACTAGGGAGGACAGAGGGAGAATTGATGCCTTTGAGCTGTGGTGCTGGAGAAGAGTATTGAATGTACCATGGACTGCCAAGAAAACAAACAGATTCATCCTGGAGAGGGTTAACCCAAGCTATTCCTTGGAGGCAAGGATTCTGGGGCTTCGTCTGACATACTTTGGGCATGTTGCAAGGAGGGACAGGTTTTGGAGAGGGACATCATGCTTGGGAGGGTGGAGGGACGGTGCAAGAGGGGAAGACCCTCTATGAGGTGGATTGATTCAGTGACTGGGGGTAATCGGGATGGGTGTGTTAGAGGCAGTGCTATTGGCACAGGATAGAGCAGGGTTTAGGGCTGTTGTACATAGGGTCGCTATGAGTCGCAAGCGACTCGACGGCACATAACAACAGCAACAGCAACAACAACAACAACAACAACAACGGTGAGAGGGATAGATTTGTATGAAAAAGAATCACCCACAAAATGCCAATAGCACTTATTTTGGGAAGCTCAGTACCCGCATAGGAAGTAAAGTGGCCAAAGTTGCTACCTTTATGGAAAACCTAGTTTAGTGGCTTATTGAATGCCACGGAATCTCTTCAGACTTCTGGTGCCCCCATGTGGCAGTGTAGGATATTTCTAGACTGAAATCTTCATGGGAGCATATCTCTGGGTATATTTCCTACAGGGTGCTGGGTGAATTAAAACCATTTAACCATTGTGCCCCCAGAGTTCTTTGCAGTCTAGTGGGTTAGGCAGATAGGTATCCAACACATAAAAGAATAACTAAATAAATAAGTTGATAAGATTTAAAATAATGAGGAGAACAAAACCTCGTTTGACTGGTGTTCTGGTGTTCTAACCTGTTGCAGGTGGTGCTGTTAACTAGAAGGTGTTATGTCTGGCAATTTGAGTCCCACCAGCAGCTGAAAGGGATCAAGATGAGCGCTTTCCTCCTGTTAGCACGTGCAGCCTCAGAAAGTTGCTGGAGAGTGACTATCAGTTGGAATACACTTGACGGCAGGGAGGATTTTTGTGAGAGTGAGAGGAGACAGCAGTTTCTTGGTTGTAGCGCAGTTGACTTGGGACACTAAGTCTTTGGTTGTAAAGGATGCCTGTGCACTGTAGGATCGTAAACAACATTCTCAGCTTCTAACCACTAGATGCCAGTTGTATCACAAGCCCACAATGGTGAAAACCATATTGTTGTTGTTGTTAGGTGTCGTTGAGTCATAGACGACTCATAGCAACCCTATGAACAAAAGGCCTGAGCACTGTTCATAGGGTTTCTGGAGGCAAGACATTTCAGAAGTGAATGTCCCTTCTGCTTCCAGGCTTGTTTTAATTGGGAAGCTCCATCAAACGCTGTCCACCATGGGTAACCATTATCACATTTGACACATCAGTGTCACAGTGTTCAGCATCACAGCAAGCACGAGTTACCTCTGTACAGCAAATGGACAGACCGGTACTATACCAACTAGAAGAATGTTTGTCAGAAAAACAGTTTGAACCAGGCCTGAAGGCCACAGATTAAAATCATCCACCTTGGGCTTGGTATTATAACTTTCCTTCCATTAGGCCAACGTAGCTCTCTCTATGTCGTCGTTGTTGTTAGGTGTCGTCAAGTCGTAGATGACTCATAGCGACTCTATGAACAAAAGACCTGAGCACTGTTCATGGAGTTTCTGGAAGCAAGCCATTTTAGAAGTGGATGCCACTTCTGCTTCCAGAAAACCATATATGTCTCCAGAAATTGCCAATTGTTACCAGGAGGCAATATCATATCCCCATCAACTAGAGTTGATAGCCCCTCATATGTTATGTTGTTGTTATGTGTCATCAAATCACCTGCAACTCATACTGACTCTATAAACATCAACTCTGACCTTTGCCCTATCCTGCGTCTATCTCATTGTCTCCAACAGACTTAATTCCATTTCTCCAAGTCACCAAGTTAATCCATCTCATCTTGGGTCTTCCTCTCTTGCACTGTCCCTACAACCAAACATAATGTCCTTCTCCAAGAACTGGTCCTTCCTGGCCATGTGCCAAAAGTACGTGAGACAGAACTTCAAAATCCTTGCCTCCAGGAGCAGCTTGGTTTTACTTCCTCCAGGACAGACCTGTTTGTTCTCCTCGTAGTCAATTGTATGTTCAATACTCTTCTCCAGCACCACAGCTCAAAGGCATCACACTTTCTTTTATCATCCTCAGTCACTGTCCAGCTCTCTGATGCATAGCAAGTAATTGTGAAGACCATGGCTAGTATCAGGCACACCTTAGTCCCCAGACTGACATCGTTGCTTTTCAGTGCTCTAGAGACATCTTTGACAGCAGACCTTTTTAAATTCATCTTTTGATATCCTGGCTGTTGATGCCAAGAGTGTTGATTGTGGAATCAAGCAAGCTGAAGTTATTAACAATCTTTATCTATCATAAAGCTGCCAATTGGCCCAGTGGTGAGAATCTTTGTTTTCTTGATGTTGAGCTTCAGTCCATATTGAAGACTACCATCCTTGCCCTTCTTCTGCAAATGCCTCATGTCCTCCTCTGTTTCAGCAAACTAGGTTATGTCATCTGCATAACACAGGCTGTTGATGAGTCTTTCTCCAATCCTGATGCCACATTCCTACTGATAATGTCTAGCCTCCTCTGGAATGATCTGTTCTGCATAGAGATTGAAAAGGTATGGAGATAAGATGCAACCCTGATGCGCACCTTTTCTAATCCTGAACCATGCAATGTTATACTTACTTGCTACAGAGTAAAGTCTTACTTAAAGCAAACCCATATACAGCATATACATGTCACACAGGACTGCTCAGGTAGTAATAGAAGAAGACCACCAGGTCTTTCTCCCACAAAGCCACTGGGTGGGTTCAAGCTGCCAATCTTTCAGTTAGCAGTTTAGCTCTTAACTATTACAGCACCAGGGTTCCTTAGTCATTGGTATAGAGAATAGCATTAGATAAGATTAGATAAAATACTTTAGACCAGACTTGGAGTTGCAATCTATCATAGGAAGAAGTCAACAGAAGAGGATCTCAGGGAAAAGTGGTATGGTCAGAGGAATAACATTTGCAAGTTGAGGCAGGAGCCAGTACACAGAGATGAGAGTGGGATGATGAAAGATGATGTGAAGATATTAAGATTTGGGGGATACTGGGGCACAGCGTAAAGGGTATGAAACCTGGTTGTCCGTCTTGTCCACACCGGTGAGGAAGAGAATCTTGGCCAGGAACAAGCATATGCAGAGGTGCAGGTGGAGGTAGGTGTTGTGGTTACGGATGGCACGACACAGCAGGAACGTGGCAATGGCCAAGGCGAGACACACCAACGAAAGAATCATGCCCACGTGGCTAATCATGTGTAAAGAAAACTCCATCTGTCAAGAATGAGATCTCAGAATTAGTCTCAGAATTAGAGGAATAGCTTCCAGATTGGAAAAAGAAGTTCTCCATACCCTTGGGTTGGGCAGAAGGGACTCAGAGTCAATTCTCCCTCTAATACTTGTCATGAATTTGATATTGCCCCTCAAAGTCCCTTGGCATTCATCAGCACTCATTCCCACCCCCTGCCATGGCCACTCTTCATTGTAGGGATAAGATACCTATTAGCTAAATTTTCCAGAACTCCCGGGTGTGGAGGTCCTAGATGTAATTTAAGTTCTCCACTGAGATACATCCATGAAAGTTTGGAAGGAATAAAGGAATCAGACAAGTGACATCTAACAAACAAAAGCGAGCCATAGACATTCTTAGTGCCCAGACCACAACTTTGTGTGTGAGAACGAAATAGAAGCAGCAGTTTCTGACCTCTGTATCCCAGCTTCCAAGGGTGACCTGAAAGCCAAACTGCACGTAGTTGAGTCTGGCTTCAATACCTGCATTCCACTAAGTGACTTTGTGAGCATTCAATTCCCTGTGTAAATCATTTTCTGCTTGAAATACTTGGAATGGATTCTGTTTCTTGGATGGAACCTCAGTTAATATGTAGACACTCAGTGAATTTCCAACTTCCGAAGGGGGAACGTAACAAACTGAGTTCTTCTTCTATGTCTATAAATAATTAATTTTTAAAATTAACTTGAGTATTTTATATACATACATATATATATATATATATTCCTATATTAAAAATAGTACTAGATAGCTTCTCAAGGACTCCTTTCTATGACATTGTTGCATAGAAGTTAGGGAAATTGACTGAAATTCTGACAGTTTCTAGCTGTATGAATTTGGTCAAGATACTTTAATGGTTCTATGTCTAAGTTTCCTCATCTGTTAGAGAAAGAGAAGAGAAACAGAGAAGAAAAGAAGATGAAATAGAGGGAGAGGGAGAATAAGAAGGGGAAGGTGGAGGAGGAAAAGGAGGAGGAGGGGAAGGTGGAGAAGAAGAAGGAGGAGGAGGAGAGGAAGAGGAGAAGGAAAAAGTGGAGGAGGAGTTAAAGAAGAAGGAGAAGAAGAAGAAGGAGGAGGAGAAGGTGGAGGAAGAGGAGGAGGAGGAGAAGGAAAAGGAGGAGGAGGAGGAGGAGGTGGAGGAGGAGAAGGTGGAAGAGGAGGAGGAAGAGAGGAGGGGAGGGGAGGGAGGAAGGGGAGGAAGAGTAAGTGTGACTACCTTACAAGGTTGTATTGATAGAATTGAATGAAGTACTTAACACTAAGCTAGAAACACTATTGCTCCAGTGTTGATTGTGACTCATGTTTCTATAGGACAAGAACTCCCCTGCAGTGTTTTCAAGAGAGTAACCTTCATGAAGCAGTCTATACCGTTTCCTCCTGCAGAGCAGTCTGTGGGTTCAAACTGCTGGCCTTTTAATTAACAACCAAACACTTGGCCACTTAGCCACCAAGAATCCTGGTCTTAAACCATCGGCACCTCTAAGTAGTATTTAAGGACCCCCACCAGGAAGTCCACTGTGTAATTTATAGCCTCTGAAAACCCACTGAAGGGTCAGCTATGAGTCAGTGTTAACTTGAGGGCAGAGTTTGTGTTTATTACTAGGGAATTGAACTTCAAGTCTTGAATGATAAACAAGTCCTCTAAACACGACATATAATAATATAGCAATAATGGATTTTCTTCTCTACTCCACCCAGCCATTCAACAAGACTACTGTTACATTCCATCTCCTTCTGGATCTCCTCTCAGTGCTTACCAAGACTCATCGGAATTCACACAACACATTCTCTTTCTTCACTTGCATGACATATTAGAAATAAATATCCTTTGGAGACAGACCAATCTAGGTTTGAATTCTGCCTCTTCTACTAATTTCAAAACCAAGACGGGCTGTTGAGCTTTGCTCTCGAATTCTATCTAATATGTTTGACCAAAATAGCTTTTCAGGTTCCTCATTAAGGATTAAAATTAATGTAGAATGAAAGGCTTGGCATCTAGTCTGAACCAAACCAAACTCCCTGCTATAAGGTTGATTCTGACTCACGACAGGCCTCCATCAAGTTTCTGATACTGTCAGTCTTAATGAGAGAAATTTGTCCATCTTCCTCCTTGAAGGGCCGGGAGATTTGAATGGTTAAACTTTAGGGACTGACTCAATTTTATTTGTGGTTGATATTGTGCCAGCTTCTATTTAGGGTAAATGTACATGTTGTTGTTGTTGTTGTTATGTGCCATCGAGTCATTTCCGACTCATAGCGACCCTATGCACAACAGCCCTAAACCCTGCTCTATCCTGAGCCAACCGCACTGCCTCTGACACACCCATCCCGATTACCCCAGTCACTGAATCAATCCATCTCATAGAGGGTCTTCCCCTCCTGTGCTGTCCCTCCATCCTCCCAAGCATGATGCCCCTCTCCAAGGACCCGTCCCTCCTGGCAACATGTCCAAAGTATGTCAGACGAAGCCCCAGAATCCTTGCCTCCAAGGAGTAGCTTGGTTTAAACCTCTCCAAGATGAATCTGTTTGTTTTCCTGGCAGTCCATGGTACATTCAGTACCCTTCTCCAGCACCACAGCTCAAAAGCATCCACTCTCCTTCTGTCCTCCCTAGTCCTTGTCCAACTCTCTGATGCATAACAAGCGATTGCAAAGACCATGGCCTGTATCAGGCGCACCTTAGTCTCCATAGAGACACTGTTGCTCCTGAGTACCTTTGAGAGGTCCCTAACAGCAGACTTTCCCATCGCGATACGCTTTTTGATTTCCTGACTGCTGGTACCAAGAGTGTTGACTGTGGAGCCGAGCAAACTGAAGCTGTGAACACTCTCAATCTCTTCGTCATCCATCCTGATGCTGCCAATTGGTCCAGTGGCGAGAATCTTTGTCTTCTTGACATTGAGCCTTAGTCCATACTGAAGGCTGCAGTCCTTGACCCTTCGCAGCAAGTGCATGAGGTCCTCCTCTGTTTCAGCATGAGTTTCATGAATTCTCAAAAATAAAATCAGCACACACACTCTTTCTTGAGCCCATGCCTCCCTCCCACAACACCCGCATCCACGAGGGCCATGCAGTATATATTTCATAAATCGTTCCCATCGGATCGGAGGCTGTTATTTGGGAAAACAATGCATAGACTACCATTACTGACCGTGAGCTCCCCAGAAGCCATGATAATGGCTAGGTTCGCCATCCGATTGCAGCTGCAGGTGGTACGCATCACAGAAGCTTCAAGGACCATGCAGCCCGAGGGCGTCCATCTCCCACCCTCCACATCTGAACTCCAGGAAACACATATAGGTTTATCAAATTCCTGCTTTGGCTGAAAAAGGAAAGATCCTGGTTACTCGACATACCCTCTGAAATGCATTCAAGGTGACCATCCTCAACACCCATTTCATGTAAGACATTTGGGTTATAATATACAGGGAATAGAGAGAAATGCTGAGATCCAGTCTACGGCGATGATGAAGCTAGTGGGGCATGCCACACACTAACTTCTGGAGGAAATGCCTCCTTTCATAAAATCTATAATATGATCTTGTCCATATTAACTCATTTTTTTCAACAAGTTTTCATTGAAGTTGTTGTGTGTTGAGTTGATTATAATGCATAGCAACCCTATGTATTACAGAACAAAAGAATGCCTGGTGCAGTATCATCCTTGCAATCACTGCTATACATGAACCCATTATTGGAGCCACTATACAAACAATAAGACTTTCTTACTGAGTGTCTTCCTTTTTAACCCTAGCCCTCCACCAAGCATGATGTCCTGCATCAGAGACTGCCTGATATAACATGTCCAAAGTGCGTAAGACAGAGTCTCTACAGATTCCCTTATAAAGAACACTCTGGCTGTGTTTTCGAAGACATATTTGTTTGTAATTCTGGCAGTCTATCGAAAAATAATGTTCTTCACTGACACCAAGATTCAAATACATGAATTCTTGCTCAGTTTGCCTTATTCATTGTCCAGCTTTCATAAGCCATGAAGTGAATCGAATATCATGACTTGGGTCAGAAGCACCACAACATCTACAGCAATATCTTTGTCTTTCCAACACTTTAATTAGGTCCTTTGCAGTAGATTTGGTTTGTTTCCCATACTGGATCTTTCCCATTTCCTTCACACAGTCATACACACACACCATCACACCATCCATCATAGGGTTGCTCTCTATCTATCTTATCTATCTATCTACACACACACACACTATATATACACACACACTATATATATATATATATACACTATACACACACACTATATATATACACACACTATATATACAGACACATTCACACACTATATATATATACACACACTATATATATATACACACACATACAAACTATATACACACACTATATATAAATACACATACAAACTATTTACACACACTGTATATGTATTCACACACTATACACACACACACACACTATTTATACACATGCACACACATACACACACTATTTATACACATGCACACACACACACACACACACACACACACACACAGAGCCAGGAAATTAGGAAATTAAAAGATGAATTGTATTGGTAAAGTCGGCTGTCAGGGACCTCTCCAGAGTACTGAAGAACAGTAATATCAGTCTGAAGACTAAGGTGCATCTGATACAGGCCATGGTCTTTGCCATCACTTGCTATGCATCAGGGAGTTGGACAATGATGATAGAAGGAGAGTTGATGCCGTTGAGCTGTGTGTGGTGCTGGAGAAGAGTATTGAATATACCATGGACTGACAATAAGATTAACACAGGATAGGGGATGGTTTAGGGCTGTTGTACATAGGGTCACTATGAGTTGCAAGCGACTCAACAACACATAACAACAACAATGAAAGTTGGATAATGAACAAAGGAGATCAAAGGATTATTGTTGTTGCTGTTGTTGTTAGACACCACTGAATCCACTATAACTCATTATGATACTGTGAACAACAGATCTGAACCTTGCTGTACTGTGCTGTCCTCATGACTCTTGATACCCTCAAGCTCATGTTAGAACCTTGCCCGGTACTGTGCCGTCCTCATAATTCCTGATACACTCAAGCCCAAGTTACAGATACTGTGTTACTTTTTCTCATTGAGGGTCTACCTCTCTTTTGATGATCCTGTACTTTGCCCAGCACAATGGCTTTTTCCAAGGATTGGTGCCTCCTAACATCATGTCTAAAATTTGGGAAGAATTTAAAAGAAGGAATACCTTTACATAATGATGAATAAGACGGTGGGATATACAATGGACTTCCAAAAGAAGAAACAAATGTATCATGAAGAAAGGGCAGCCAGAGAGCTCCTTAGGAGAGAGGATGTTGAGGCTTCTTCTCATGTACTTAAGATAAGGGTAGTCCACAGAGAAAGGTAGCATGCTTAGAAAAGTACAGGATCAGTGAAAGAGGAAATCCCTCAAAACAATGAACTGATACTGTGGCTGCAACAGTTAATTTGAGCCCAATGGAGATTATGAAGATTGCATGGTTTGAGAATTTTCTTCATCTATGGCACATAACAACAACAACATTGTAAGTAGGATCTGCTTGGTAAAGGAGGAGATTGCCCCTCCTTCTCCAGGAGAGCATCTGGTGGATTTGAACCATGCGCTTCTGAGATTGCAGTGCAGCTTCTTGCCAGTAGGCCACCCTCTCCAAAGTACTGAAGAGCAATGGTGTCTCTCTGGAGACTAAGGTGCGTCTGATACAGGCCATCGTCTTTGCAATCACTTGTTATGCATCAGAGAGTTGGACAATGACCAAGGAGGATAGAAGGAGAATTGATGCCTTTGAGCTGTGGTGCTGGAGAAGAGTATTGAGAATACCATGGACTGCTAGGAAAACAAACAGATTCATCCTGGAAAGGGTTAAATCCAGTGGCTCCTTGGAGGCAAGGATTGTGAGGCTCTGTCTAACATACTTTGGACATGTTTTAAAGAGGAACTGGTCCTTGGAGAGGGACATCATGCTTGGGAGGGTGGAGGGACAGCGCAGGAGGGGAAGACCCTCTATGAGGTGGATTGATTCAGTGACTGGGGCAACTGGGGTGGGTGTGTTGGAGATGGTGCGATTGGCACAGGACAGAGCAGAGTTTAGGGCTGTTGTACATAGGGTCGCTATGAGTCGCAAGCAACTCGACGGTACATAACAACAACAATAACAACTGTAAGTAGGATTTCTATGAGCCAAAGTCAACTTAAAAGCAACAATCACAACAACAACAACAAACAGTCTTGAGGTGGGCTTTAAGAATAGGTTTGCATTACTAGACACTGTGGAAGCTTGCTGTCTTCCTGAGTCTCAATCTCAAGCAAGGCTGAAATGTTGAACTGAAGGAAAAGTAGTGGCCAGTAGGGACATGTGGGCACAATAGAAAGTTAACCACAAACCTGGATATTCTCCAGAGTGTAGATGATTGGCTCCGAGAAGCCATCTTTCTTCTTCCCAGTTGTGATGCCCCCAACAACCCGAGAACCCATCTTTAGCTTCCTTTTGGGGTTGGCCAAGGTATCCTGGGGGTCTTGGAAGTAGCTCTCATCTAAAACAGACTCCATGCTTGCAAAGGAGACAAAAGCCACCCCAGTAATACCTGTAAATTCCCACAAAGGGAAAGAAATGGGAAGCATTTGTAAAGAGGTCATTATAGATGCGTACACGCACGCACACACACGCGCACACGCACGCACACGCACGCGCGCACACGCGCACACACACGCATGCACATGCACGCACGCACACACACACGCACACACACATATGCGCACACACACGCACACGTACACGCACACGCACACACACGCACATGCACACACGCAACACACACCCTTTGATACTCCATGTACCTCACTGCTCTATTCTGAGGATTGAAATGCCATTGAACTTCCAAAATAGTGAGGGATCCTCTCCTAGACCATTTTAAAAACCTTGAGATGCACAAATCTTTACTATGCTTAAAAAGAAATTTGGGTTAGTTTCCACACACGGTGTAAGGTTGAATTAATTTTCATATACGTGTGGAGTGTGGGTCCAGGTTCATTCTCTTGTTATGGAGACACTGAATCTCAGTTAAAACTCATGCCATGGAGTCAATTCTGAGGCATGGTGACACCATGAGGCAGAGCAGAACTGCCCCCAAATATGGCATCTTGGGCTGTACTAATTTTGGAGGTTTGAATCCACCAGCTGCTCCAAGGGAGACAGAGAGGTAATCTTTTCTTGATTTACAGGCTCTGAAAATCTGCTGAAGCATCAGCCATGTATTGTCTCTGGCTCTATGACAATAAGTGACAGTGAATTCTTGATTGTGGAAGATGTCCTGTGGACTAGCGAATAACGTTTTTCCCCTCTGAATTTTATGAAAGTTGACTTCTATGTTCTTCTGTCTCAAAGTGGTTCAAGTTATCAATCCTTCAAACAGCATCTGAGTGATTAACCACTGCACTACCAGAGCTCCTTCCGTGAAGGGTGATGGGAATATTTGGAAATAGACAAGGATGGTGATTGAGCCACATAACTAATTTTATCAATGACACTGAACCATACACGTGAAGAATACTGAAATCAAACTGTCTCCTCGTCATATTGTTAACTGTCACTAATTCAACCCCCAATCCTTCGTGATCCTACACATAACAGATGACAGATACTCTATAGAGCATTCTTGAAAAGGTTCCGGAAGCAGTTTCTCAGTTTTTCTTTCACACAGGGGTACTGAGTGAATTTGAAAAACCATCCTTTCGATTAACTGTGGATGGATGAGTGGATGAAAACCACTCATGCTAACCAGGCTCCTATGGCGGGTTACAAATATGCAAGTGTTCTGTTACATATATGTGAGTGCTTTGTTACATGCTTAGAAATGTGTGCTACATGTTGTTGTTGCTGTTAAGTGCTGTGTAGTTGTAGATGACTCATAGTGACCCTATGAAGGAAAGACCTGAACACTTGTATAACTTTCTTCCCATTTTATTGCATACTTATAACTTTGTTGTTAAAGTTATGCCTTGTGTACATACATATAAACATGTTGTGAAATATATAGAGATAGAGATAGATAGAGATAGAGATGATAGAGATAGAGATAGAGAGGTAGAGATAGATGATATAGATGATATAGATAGAGATATGGAGATAGAGATAGAGATAGATAGATATTTGATTGTTGTTATTATCTGCTGTAAAGCCAATTACGACTCACAGAGACCTTCTGAACAATGGATCTGAACCCTGTTCTAGTGTTTTGTTACATATATATACATTATGAGTATTTTGTAACATGTGTTTAAGTGAGTTGTTCCATATATACCTACCACAAAAATTATTTGACCGAATTTGATTTTGCGATTTTAGGAGTCAGTTTACCTGAGCACTAGTGAATGAGTTTTCTCCCACAATTATTGTTATTCTTGTTCAGTGATTCTGGTGAGCCTCCCTTCACTGCCTGCCCTTGAAAGGCCAGTACTTCCTGGAGACCTGTGCTAGGCTCACACCTGTCCCATCCATCCCTAAGGTTTCCTTCTCCGTCCCCAAGCTGTTGGATTGCAGAGACCTTCCAGAGGGGCCCCTGGCACCTAAGAGAAGAGCAGTAGTATCTGCTGGCGGTAGGCACTACAACCATGCTCTTTGATTCCCAGAAGCAAATCTGTACCTCTGGCCTCAGACTCTTTAATTGTAGAACATCCGATCTTCATCTCATCCCCTTTGGCTTTCAAGTTAAAGGCAGCATTCTCTCCAGTGCATTCTTCTTTAATAACTTTGCTTTCAAAGTCTAAAAAGGAAAAAAAAGTGAGAGTTTGCACCAGAGACACAGAAACTGAATTTTCAATTTACTTTCCATCCATCAAAGTTGTGCATCTGCCCTTGAAAACAAAGGAAATAATGTAAAGGCCACCTTGTGACAGTACAATTCCTTAACCCTCTCGTGAATCACAGGAGGGGTGGGAGGTAGCATTAAGCAAACGAGGAATTCAGTTGTGGGCCTAGGAGCAACTTCTCCTATCTTAGGAGTGAAGCTGAATGGTGGAACTAAAGGGGATGGTAGAGAAAGCACTATATTACATTTGTGGACTTCTTGTTTTTATGTGTCCTCAAATTGACTACAACTCATAACAACCCTATGAACAATGGCTCTAAACTTTGCCTTATCATGAGCCAACTTCACTGGCTCTGACACATCTGACCCCATTGCCACAGTCACTATGTTAATCCATCTCAACTAGGGTCTTCTTCTCTGCTGACACTCCACCCTCCCAAGCATGATGTCCTTCTCCAAGGACTGGTCCCTTCTGGCAACATGTCCAAAGTATGTAAGATGGAGCTTCCAATATCTTGCCTCCAAGAAGAAACCTGCTTTTACCCTCCTCATGACAGACGTGTTTGTTTTCTTAACAGTTCGATTCTCTTCTCTAGAATCACAACTCAAAGGCATCAATTCTTCTTCTATCATCCGTATTCATTGTCCAGCTCTCAGATGCATAGCAAGTGATTGAGAAGACGATGGCCTGGATCAGGTGCACCTTAGTATCTCAATTGACATTATTGCTTTTCAGAACTCTGGAGAGGTACTTGGCAACAGATATTTATAATGTAATTCATTTTTTTTTAATTTCCTAACTGCTGTTGCCAAGACTGATGATTTGGTGTTGCAGACCGAGGGTCCCAAAGAATGGAATAATTTTATAATTATTAATAAAGAGACAAACAGCCAGGAATGAGATAGAGCAGAGAGCATAAAACAGGGGGCCAGGAGTTCATGACTGAAGCCCCCAAGCCAAGCTTCTCTGTGTCTTTATTGAAAATTATCAGGAAGTAAATCACAAAGAGAATTCAATGCAAATGAAGCCAAGCTCTTTCTATTGAAAACCTTCTGCTTGACTCAGGAGGGAGGGGTTCACAAATGCAAGAATTTGGTTTACCCTTAACTATTAACCTTGATGCCTCAGGATGAACTCTAGCTCAGGAAGTAACACTCCCTCTGTAGGTGGCCCCTTGCTGTCTCCTGTCTTACAGGGAACAAACAGCTCATTTTCTAGGATCTGCCACAAGAGAAATCCTAACTTATAAATCTGTAATTCCTTCAATTCCTGAACAAGGGTTTTCATATAATATTTGATATAAAGTTTGGCTTCCCATAATTTGGGATTAGAGCAAGATGAGGTCATGAATCAATTTTTCCCCCATCTATCATGATACTGAGGGAGCTGTGGTGGCCTGTTGGTAAATATCTGTGTTACAATCCCAAAGACACACAGTTCAAATCCACAAGCTGTTCCACAGGAGAAGGATGGGCAATCTTCTCCCCTGCAATGAACTGCCTCTGTAAACCCACTGGAGGATTAGCTTTGGGTTGGATCTGACTCAACAGAACTTAACGATAACAACTACAACATCAAGAAAATACCTGTTGGCCCAGTGGTGGTGATGGTGGTGTCAGGTGCCATCGAGTAAGTAGAACCCATAATGACCCTACACACAAATCTGAACCCTGTCCTACCCCGTGCCACACTTTCTGATACATTAGAGCCCATTGCAGCAGTTACTGTGTCAGTCCACCTGGTCGAGGGTCTTCCTCTCCTTCATGAACCCTCCAGCAACATGCACCTCAATATCTTTGCCTCCAAAGAGTACTTTGGCTGCACCGTCTCTAAGATATACATGTTTGTTCTTTTGGCACTCCATGGGATGTTCAGCGTTCTTTTCCAACACCACATCCCAAAGACATCAATTCCTTTGTCATTCTTATTCATCCAGCTCTCAGATACATATATAGCAAGTGATCAGAAAGACTATGGCCTGCATCTAGACATCTATTTTTTGGAACGAGGTGAAAAATTTTCACAAGCTTATTAAAGATCTTAGGCAAAAATAAAGGTTATGCATTACTACTCTATGGATGGATTGACGGAGTAACTGCACCAATGGACTTAAGCATAGTGGACATGGTGAGGACAGTAGAAGATCCAGCAAAAATTCAATCAAAGGGTCACTAGGAGACATAATCATCTGGAGTGCACCTAGCAGCAACAAACAAATGAACTCTATGAGAAAGAGTTTAAATTTCACTATGAGTCAGCACACAACAATAACATACAGTACACACAAAAACATTTTCTCATCAGAGACTATATTTTCCCATCCTTAGCCTTAACCACTAATTATTGATGAAGAATATTTGAAACCATATTTTTGTATTGCTTGTTCTTAATGTTAAGTTTTTTAATGAATCAACAAATAAATCCCACTCAAAATGGTTCAATCTTTGTTAAAAAAAAAAAAAGACTATGGCCTGAATCAGATGTACCTTAGTCCTCAAGCTGATGTCATTACTCCTCAATAATTTGAATAGGTCTCTAACTGCAAACTTTCCCAGTGCAATATATCTCTTTATTTCTTGACTGCTGGTAGCAAGGGTGTTAATTGTGGATCCAAGTCAAATGACATCATTGACAGTTTCAATCTTTTCTCTATCTTTCCCCATGTCTATCATCCAGTGATAAGAATCTTTCTTGATAGGGAGATGCAATCCATATTGAAGGTTGTATTCTTTGATCTTCTGCAACAAGTGCCTCAAGTCTTCTTTACTTTGAGCAAGTAATTTTGTGTCATCTGCACAACACAGGTTTCTGACAAGTCCCCCTCTGATCCTGATGCCATATTCTTCTTCATGGAGTGCAGCCTCTCAAATAATTTGCCCAACATACAGATTGAATAACTATAGAAAGAGAATACAACCCTGACACACTTCTTTCTTAAACTTAAGCCATGCTGTGTTCCCTTGCTCTGTTCACACAACAGCCTCCTGGTCTAGGTGTAGGTTTTGCATGAGCACAATTAAGTGCTCTAGGATTCCCAGTCATCTCAGTATCAGTCATAACTTGTTATGATTCACACAGTCAAATGCCTTTGCATAGTCACTAAAGCACAGACATTCTTCTGGTATTCTTTACTTCCAGGCAGGATTCATCTAAGATCAGCAACGATATCCCTGGTAAGGATTTTGTTTTCTTTCTGTTGTTAATATTTTTATCATTCAAATTGTGTTTCATGTGTCTACATTGTATTTTATAGTCTTTGATTCACGTTGCGTTTTGTGCATGTATATTGTATGGTTTCTCCCCTCCTTACAATCATCTTTATTTTCTTGATGTTGAAATGCAACCCATATTAAAGGCTGTAGACCTTGACCTCTGCAGCAAATGCTTTCCATGCTTTTCTGGTTGGTAAGCAAGCAAGGTTGTGCCATCTACATAACACATGTTGATGATGATTATCCCCCCAATCCTGATGTCATATCTTATTGTTGTTGTGAACCATAGAGTTGGAACTGACCCATCGCTGACCCTCCAGCGGGTTTCCAGAGCCAGTTAATCACACATGAGGAGATTGCCCATCTTTCTCCCATGGAGCTTCTGGTGGATTTGAACCATATGCCTTCAGGATTGCAGCACATCTCCTTGCCACTAGGCTACAAGAGTATAAAATTCAGCCTCCTGATTGATCTGTTCAGCAAGCAGATTGAAAAGATGTGAAGAAAGGATACAACCTGATGCACTCCTTTCTTGATAGCGAAACCCCGTGAACAACAGAGCACACTGAGGCAAAACGTGGTCTTCTAAAGACTTTAAATTTAGAAAGGTCTTCCAAGTCCAAAGGACTCTCTGGGTAAGGCAAATGGTTAACTTGTTCTCGACAACTAAGCAAAATGTTGAAAGTTTGAGTTCATCATGTAAGAAGAAAAGCCTGGCAATGTACTTCTGAAAAAATAGCTACTGAAAACTCAGAGGAACACAGTTGTCTGACGTACAGGAAGTCACTCTAGTTGGGTTCAGCTCAGTGCAACTAGTTAGGGAGAACGTGGGTGTTATAAATAGTTACCATACTCAGCTGCCAACAGAAAGGTTGACCGTTCAAGGTTCACCTTGACGAAAGGTTGGCCATCCCAAAGGCACCTTTGAATATAGGTCTGATTATCTAGTTCTGAAATATAATCCTTGGAAAACCCAGTGAAGCATGGTTCCATTATGTCACCGTTGGGGTCACCGTGAGTGCTGATTACTCTACAGCAACAATTTGGAAAAGATTTTCTAGCCCTGATGGTGCCAAATTGTGACTCTTCTTGGTGTTACCTTCATTTGGGAGACAAGAAGACAATAACAGCCCTGATCTAGAACACTTCCGGTTATCAAGACATAAGGAAATAAAGTTCTGGAAGGTCTCACACTAATAATCATTTTATTCACAATCCATTCATTGGCTTGAACTAGCCACAAAAGTCCCATCTAACCTCAATATATCCAGGAAATACAATGTTACCATGGCCTTGGAAGAGAACAATGGAAGTATATGAGAAGCTGGATAGTCTGAAGATGACTATAGTCCCTTAACACTTTGGCATATGCTCAACAGTCAACAAATGTTCGATGAATTATTTAACGACACGTTTTTAACCTCAATGTGAACATTTTTGCCAATGATGCTGTTAATTTGATTGAATTTGTTTTGCGTTGAGTTCAAGCTTTTAAAACAGTAGGGCAAACAAGATAGTGAGAAAGTCATGGGACTCACATAGCCAAAACCAGCAGCCAGGTGAGACCTTACCAGGACAGGTACGCCTTACCTAAGGATTTGGTCTGGGCCGTCTGACTGGTATTCTCTGAGGGTTTCAGGAGGGCTGCCAGCATGGTGCTCTCCACGCTCTCCAACACGACCGTGGCCAGCAGGGACTTCTCTTTCTTGGCGAAGGTGAGCCATGTGGATGTGTTCTCAAACACAATAGCAACACTCTCAAACATTACCTGCAAGAAATTATTTCTCTGTCACTCCATCTCACTTTTTACTGTATTATAATGTAGGGACATATACACAGCTCTGGTGGCCTGGTGGCAAGAAGCTGAGCTGCAACCCTGAAGGGACACAGTTAGAAACCACCAGATGTTCAGTGGGAGAAGGATAGACAATCACCTCCCGTGTAATTAACTGCCACTGAAAACCCACTAGAGGTTAGCTACGGGCCAGTTCCTACTTGACGGTATACATGATCTCCTTATCTCATTTTTTAATTACATTATATTGTTGTTATTGTTGTGTTGTTGTATATTATAATGTAGGACTATATATATGAGCTCATTTGTGCATGTGTGCATATGTGCACGTACACACACACACACACACACACACACACACACACACACACACACATTTCTCCCCAGTTCATTGCAGTGTTAAAAATTAGAAGAATGGCCTCATGAGGTGTTCCAGTTAAAAATTTTGTTGATTCCAAAAGGTAAC